TCCCTCTCTCTCTTTCCTCCTCCTTCCTTTCTCTCTCTCTCTTCCTCCTCCTTCCTTTCTCTCTCTCTCTCTCTCCTTCTCTCTCTCTTCCTCTTCTCTCCTTCTCTCTCTCTTCCTCCTCTCTCCTTTCTCTCTCTCTTCCTCCTCTCTCCTTTCTCTCTCTCTTCCTCCTCTCTCCTTTCTCTCTCTCTTCCTCCTCTCTCCTTTCTCTCTCTCTTCCTCCTCTCTCCTTTCTCTCTCTCTTCCTCCTCTCCTCCTTTCTCTCTCTCTTCCTCCTCTCTCCTTTCTCTCTCTCTTCCTCCTCTCTCCTTTCTCTCTCTCTCTTCCTCCTCTCTCCTTTCTCTCTCCTCTCTCTCTTCTCCTCCTTCCTTTCTCTCTCTCTCTCTCTTCTCCTCCTTCCTTTCTCTCTCTCTCTCTCTCTCTCTCTCTTCTCCTCCTTCCTTTCTCTCCCTCTCTCTCTTTCCTCCTCCTTCCTTTCTCTCTTTCCCCATCTCTCTATCTCTCTGCAAGTTCAATGGCATTTCCATGAGGAATCCACCCGGCTCAGCCCAAGTGCAATGCACATACAAGATCAGCAATGTTGCACAAACAGTCAACAAAGATTATGAGGTGACTGGGTGTTCTATCAGCCTAGATCCATCGCGTTAACGGTGTCAAGGGGATATGGGCCTTATTCCCGCCACACGAAAGGACGATTCTCATCTGTCTCCGCCGAACGTGCTAGATTTTGATCGTAGACGAGCTTTCCCGGGCACGATTTGTTATTAATTCGTTATATATCTGCTCAAGACAACATTCCACTGCACGATATAATGCAACGGGTATAACGATGCAACGGTAACAATACAGTTTTGAAACCTCTGAAGATGACAAGATAAAAATTACAGCGGCAAGCTATTTAAAATTCTTCCGAAGTGTTATTCTGCCATGCGGTCTTGCACGGCGTTATTAAAACCTTGTATCAAAACTATAAAAAAGTATCCTAAATAAACCCATCCATCCTGAATATTCAACATAACGACCGGATAGACTACAACCCATCGTTCAATAATAAAAATCAAACCACACATTACACTTGGCAACAACCTCACACAAGTCTAACAGTTAAAGCGCCCGTTTGGTCCGACTTCATCCTAGACATTTTGAGGTGACTAAATGCGAGTGGTCAGTTCAAAACTCTTTTTCCCTTCCTACTCTCAAGTCTAGTGGCATTCAGATGCGTTGACGAACTCGGTGGTGTGCGAAGCTCACAAAAGGAGGGAGAGATGGAGGAGGGTAAGGAGGGAGAGAGAGGGAGGGGGAGGGGGAGGGGAAGGAGGGAGAGAGGGAGGGGGAGGGGAAGGAGGGAGAGAGAGGGAGGGGGGAGGGGAAGGAGGGAGAGAGAGGGAGGGGGGAGGGGAAGGAGGGAGAGAGAGGGAGGGGGAGGGGAAGGAGGGAGAGAGAGAGAGGGGGGAGGGGAAGGAGGGAGAGAGGGGGAGGGGGGAGGGGAAGGAGGGAGAGAGAGGGAGGGGGGAGGGGAAGGAGGGAGAGAGGGGGAGGGGAAGGAGGGAGAGAGGGGGAGGGGGAGGGAAGGAGGGAGAGAGGGGAGGGGGGAGGGAAAGGAGAGAGGGAGGGGGAGGGGAAGGACGGAGAGAGAGGGAGGGAGAGGGGGAGGGGGAGGAGGGAGAGATATAGGGGGAGGGGAAGGAGGGAGAGGAGAGAGAGGGAGGGGGGGGAGAAAGGGGGGAGGGGGAGGAGGAGAGATATAGGGGGAGGGGAAGGAGGGAGAGGAGAGAGAGGGAGGGGGGGAGAAAGGGGGGAGGGAGGAGTGAGAGATGGAAGAGGAGTAGGGGCAAAGAGAGGGAGAGAGGAGAGAGGGGAAAGGGGGGAAGGTAGTGAGTGAGAGAAGAAAGGAAAAGAGGTAGAGGAGAGAGATAGAAAAGGGGGTGGAGATGGAAGAGAGGGCAGAGAGAGTGGAAAGAGAGGGAAGAAAAAGGAATTGAAGAGAAAAGAGAAAATAAAGAGATAAAAGAGACACGAATACGGAGAAGTCGCAACACCCAATTCCACCGAACGACCCCCGCCGGTACTTGTAAACCACCAGCAAGGGACGGCGAATAAACTTCACGGGGACAACTAAAACCGTTTCTCGTTTTGCATCGTTACGTAAAATTTAACATTCACTCTGGGCGTACGGGGTTAGTAGGTGGGGTGGAGCGGAGGTGAGCGCCGATGAAGACGTACACAGTTCAATATTTCTAACACGGTGCACATCTCATAACTAAGGCGACCCGAACCGCCTTCAAAACTCTTGACTCAAGATCTTGCTCACCTTCACCTAATGAATGAGAGTAAGGGAGTTCGCTATAACGGGGTGTTGCCGAGGAAGAGCCAGACTGGTTTCGAACATTTTCTTTTTCTTCAAATATTTCCCGCGCAAAATTGGGCGCCATTTCTCCGGCGTGACAGGACGGTATATCCCCCCTTCAAAAAATAATATATAATTATCGGAGAGAATCAC